AAAAAGAATGGAGGAAGTAGTATATATCCTCTATAAAAAAAAATACAATAAAAAAAATAAAATAAACCAGCGCATGCAGCAAAACAAAAAACAAAAAAACAGTTGCTTTTCCCACCCAGCATTATCTTATTTGCTACGGAGTATTAAAAAATCAATTCTCAAAAAAAAAAAAAAAAAAAAAAAAGAAAAGAACATGAAGGGTATTATTGAATTTGTTACTACTTACTACTGTACAATTGCCCTTTTTGCCCAAACTAACAACTCTTTTTTTAGAATTGTATAGATTAACTCTCCTAATTTCATTTTTATTATAAGTTCAACTAATAATTTTATTAATGTTTTCCTCAAAAAAAATAATTTTATTAATGAAATTATGAAAGTATTTAACCCAAAGTTTAGCATGAGTTATTGTAAGTAGTCTTCAAATGGAGTGAATTAGTGGGAAAAGTTCTCCCACATAGAAAGAAATTAAAAGGCTGGATGTGTTTATTTACTTGTGTGTCCTATACATATGCTATCTAACTTTTTGGGCCAATTGAATTAGGCTTGATCATGGCTATACTAGTAATTTGGTTAATTAAATTTTTATATTTTTATTAATGGTTTTCAGATAGAATTAAATACAGTTATTTTTGGGATTAATAACTGTGGCAATCTCAATATAATCAATTTAATTGACAATGTAAATCATCAGTTTTATTCTTCTTCTTTCTCACTCAACACTTCACAAAATAACATGTCCATGGAGAATGAATTCTTATGATGTATTTTTCATTTTAAGAAATAGAAGAATCCTTGGGGTAAATTGGCATAGGTTATCCCAACATCTAAGCATGTACTCCCTCCATCCCATAATACTTAGGATGTTGGGGTGAACACGTAGTTTAAGAAAACTACAAGTTGGTCCATTTAAAATATTTGTTTATTGTATAAAAAATTCTCTTTTCTATTTTTATATGTAAGAAAACAACAGGTGGGGTGGAAGTGGGGTAGGTAAGGAGAGAGAAAATGTGGGAAAATATTTTTTTTATTAGTGATCCCATTTCATTTTTAGTAACGTATCAAGTATTGTGGGACGAACGAAAATGAAAATTGTGTCAAGTATTATAAGACTAAAGGAGTATATGGAAGGGCTAATATTATCCTAAGGACAGAGTAATCTTGTCCTATTTTAGTTTGATTATTGCTCTATTGTATTTAGTTATAATTTTCTTTATTGTAATTTTTTAACCAAGCAAAGGAAGCATGAACTCTCTCTCTCTCTCTCTCTCTCTCTCTCTCTCTCTCTCTCTCTCTCTCTCTCTCTCTTCTCTCTCTCTCTCTCTCTCTCTCTCTCTCTCTCTCTCTCTCTCTCTCTCTCTCTCTCTCTCTCTCTCTCTCTCTCTCTCTCTATATATATATATATATATATATAAAAGAGTATGTCATGTACAATTATAATTTTGAAATTAATTATAAACTTATAATATATAAAGCCTTTAAGGATATAGTTCCTCTATTATTTTTTACTTGACCTAATTTGATTTTCGCACTATTCATACATGCATAGTTGGTTGTCTATTGTGATTTATACGTAAGGAAAAAAAAATCATGTGGGATCTTCTTTGAATTGTCTTAAAAAATGCTATCTGTATTATATTTTTTACTCTGTACTTATTAAGAATTGAAGATATTGACAGTTAGATTTATACATTGGCACATGTGATAAATAAAACAGATTAATTAAAAAGAACGGAAGAATTTTTTTTTTTTTTTTTTTTGTGTGTAAAGAGAGTTACAAGCTAAAGACAAATGATGTAAACGAGATTTGAACATAGTCTTGAGTATCACCCCTTAGTGTGTGTGTGTGTGTGTGTGTATATATATATATATATATATATATATATGTATATATATTTGAGGAAAAGGCTTTGAATATATGTTAGCATCAATTAATTAAATACATTTTCTAAGGGTCTGCTCTGTTCACCTTATTTTCACTTATTTCAGGTAAAATAAGTTCAGCTTAGGTTTAATAAGTTTTGATAAGGGTTACCCGAGTACAAATTACAACTAAAATAAGTTCAGCTTAGGTTTAATAAGTTTTGATAAGGGTTACCCGAGTACAAATTACAACTAAAATAAGTTTTAATAAGGTCTAATAAGTTAAGATAAGTTTAGATAAGTTCAAATAAGCTAAGATAAGTTCAGATCAGTGAAAATCAGGTGAATAGAACACACCCTAAAAGTGTATAAGTTGGATATCAGAATTTATGATAAAATCACTCTTCAATTGGTGTTATTATTGCTTAATAATTTTTAATCTTCTTAAATGCATCGATCCTTAATGGTTGTATTATCATATATTAAGGTGTTGTTTGGTTCACATGAGAATTAGAACTTCCATGAATTTGCAATTCATGGGAATTAAATTCCTATTATCAAATTCATGGGAATTTTTAAAATTATTTGGTTAACAATGAAGAAGTAATTTCCTATGGAAATTTCTACTTACCTGGGGGGGGTTAGGTAAGTAAGTTCCTACATTTTGTGGGAAGTCAATATTCTTAGAAAGTTCAACTTCCCCCATTCCACCAAATTTTTGTCAACCAAACAACACATAAAATTTGTAATTCCTAGAAAATTTCACTTCCCATGTTTTTCTTATGTCAAACAAACAAGCCCTCATTTTCATATCATCAAGCTAACAACAATTTTCCAAGGTCTATTATTTTGTGTTAGTGTCCTTAGAGGAATAGAGGATGTAGTTTAGCACAATTTGTGTCTAACATAGAGTAGCAGCAAAGGAAGGATACAAATAGAATTTTTAACAAAGATTTTTTTTTTTTTTTCCTCCTCGGTTTTGCATTTTCAAAAAAGAGTTGCATCCAAGGGTTTTCAAAATTCTCAAATGTACCTCTGAAGTCACCAAGTTTTCAAGGATGTACCCTTTGCCGTTAACGCTTCATTAGTTTCGTTTTAATTATTTATTTTTTTGGATTTTTCTAACATATATTCTAAGTAATTATTATTATTATTATTATTATTATTATTATTATTATTATTATTATTATTATTATTATTATAAAAAACCTACAAAGTCAAATGATTTACAAGAAATTAGTGGGGAGCCGAGATACAATCTGGGCCCCCACCCCTCTAGTTATAGCGAACCCAATCCTGTTGAAAATGTGAGCAGCAGCACGAGCGCCAATATCCTGAGTCCTAGCGAACGCTTGAACCCGCTTCAGCAACACAACCACATCCTTCTCTAATTCCCCCAATGAAGAAAAGGAGAAAGGAAGGAAACCATAGCCAATAGCCCTGCAACGCGGTCCATACTTGTCTCGCTTCCGCTGAGCCGCAGCCGATACAACACGACCAGGAACAAAGTCAGACAACCCAGATTGTGTCAAAGGAGATGACCCCGTCAAGTCAACACATACATCTAGGCCTCTATCCCAGGAGTAAAGCAACACATCTGCTGGTCGAAGAGCCCCGTCGTTCCCACCAGTCAACCCAACGTTAACCTCCTTTATTGCGGAAATCCCAGAGCGGAAACAAATATCAACAAGGGTATCACGAACAACGTTGTGCCGATGTTTAATACCCACCATCCCAGCACAAGACACTGCATGATCCCCAAAAATATCCCAATAAAAAACCCTTGAGCAAGCAGAACAAGGTGTCGAAACGGAAAACAAGGGAACACCCAACCGGTAGCAAAGAACACAACGGTAAGTCTTACCATTCATAATCTGACCCAAACCTGATATCGGGACCGCTCGCAGCCAGGCAGAAGTGTGATCCCCCTGTTGGGACTTCCATAAGGCAACCTGACGCGGAGATAAGGAGAAAGTGGATTCTACAGATGCAGTGACCTTCGTGAAATATATATCTGCCAATTTCTTCATGAGTTTGGGGGCAGCGATCTCACCAGGGTTACGCAAAAGGTCAGCCTCCACAGTCCTATTAAAAAGACTAAGAGCGCCATCGAAGGCCGATCCTGGACCAATAATACCCGAATTGCGAAGCAGCGAAGCCTGAAGACCAGAAGACTGCAAACGCGATGCAAGGAAAGCATAGTGTCGAACATCACCCGCTGAATAGACACCCAATCCACCGTAAGAAAAAGGTAAGGTGGCAAGTCGCCATTGCCAATCACCAAAACCTGGCCCCGAAGCAGTTACAATGCGCTCCAAAGAACCTCGAAGGGCCACATCAAAAGAAATCCGGGCCGCTTCAAAAAGACGAGGAGGACAAGTGCGCATAGAAAAGTAGAGTTTCGAAACCCCAGTACACGCACGAAGTAGTAACAACTCACACTGGGGATCCTCAAGCTTAGCAACAACATCCATTAGCACAATGGTCTTCGACATTTTCTGTGAAACAAGCTCACCACAAAAAGAGGCATCTGCACTGACAGGACCACCAAGCAACTTAACACCATGAACTGAACGAGCAATATTTGGAGGAAAGACACCGGCTAGACGGCTACGTGGGTCATCCGTGGGCCAGAAAACTTCCGTTTTCTCAACGTTAACATGGAGGCCGAGACGAGGTCCCTCCACCAAAATCAACTCCATAACCTTCCCTACCACCAAGGTGTCACCGATAATAGAGTCATCATCCAAATACCAAGCCTGCAAACATAAGTCGAAAGAATCCCTAATTCGACAAACCAACGGATGGAGCACCAAAGCAAAAAGAAAAGGGCCAAGAGGATCACCCTGCCGCACACCTTGACATGACCATAAGGTATGCTCCCCATAAAAGAGCCTGGCTGGAGAAGAGTAACAAAATTCAACCCAACGCGAGAGAGCTGGACAACGTAGACGAACCTCACACAGTAAAGCCGTATGATAGTGTGTCAGCCATTATTATTATTATTATTATTGACACGAGATCACGCGCTGCCTTCCTAATTAATAATTGATAGTGTGTCAGCCATTAGTCTAAATTTAAGGTGTTGGATACACCCAACTTATAGTTCAAAGTGTTAAGACCAATTTTACTTTTTTTTTTTTTTTTTTTTTTAACGTAGTTCTACAATACAAGTTGGTGATTGGTTTTCCATGAAGAATTCCGATGCTTTGCCTTTTTTTTTCCTTTGATCATTTAATTGTTCAATAATAAAGTTGTTTGAACATTACTTGTTTGCTTGAATATCCAAGGATGGTCTTAATATATAAATAATAATAATCACAATTATTCCACTTTGAAAAACTGTATTTGAGACAATTTGTTTATTGAAACTAATTTGTTAGTGAGTACGTAAATCATAACATATTTCATATAATAATACTTATTAGGTCTAAATTTAAAAGTTAAGTTCTTAATATAAATTTCATGTACATACAAAAGTCGTAAAGTATATCGAATGATGACTCTTACATAAACTGTACCTGCAAAGTATTCAATTGAGTTCAGATCAATCTACAGTCATTGTATACCCAGTGGAACTTGAAATCCATAGAATAACTTCAATTGATTTACTTCATTAAGCGATTCAAACACAGTAGAACCTCTAATTCACTTACCACCAATTATGCTTATTTATACAAACTATATTATAAAACCCATGTCTCATTTTTCACAAAGAAATAAAAAAAAGTGTATAAAACTAATTAAAAAAAAAAGTATTTTCCTTTAAATAAAAAAAGGTTAGCTATAATAAAATTACGTTTATTAAAAAGCTGAAATACTGGGTCAAAGCATAAAATCTAGCTCGGCATGCAAAAGAATAGCACAACATAAATACTCCATTATCAACAATTAATCAAACCCAATTATACGTTACTTTTCCAAAAAAAAAAACAAAAAAAGCCAATTGTACGTTACTTACAATGTCTTTTATACATTTTTTTATTTTTTTTATTTTTATTAAAAAAAAAGAAATAAATACTACGACTAGTAGTATTCTACGGTGGGTAAGGGTAGGGTCGGGTTATCAGCACGAGAAAATCTCTTTCCCGCTCCTTCCTCCCTTCAAATCTCACTCATTCCTTCTCTCTCTCCTCCTTCACTTCACTTCACTTCTCCTTTACCATTTTTCACAACTATAATCCCCTCGCAATAGCAATACATTTTATTCTTCGGGTTTTCGGAATTTTCGTTTTCGATACAAAAAATAATCTAAGTATACTAGAGGCTTTTGATTTTGGTTTTGAGAAATATTTTTTTTGTATGTATGAGTTGCGAACATGGACACCCCTGAAAGGAATCAGATCGGAACACCCGTTTCTAAATTTGAGGTTATTTTTCTTAAATTTACTCCGTTTTTAGCCTGTTTTGTTGTTAATTTTGTGATAAAGTTGGTTTTTTTGGGTTTGTAATGTCGTTGACTTGATTTTCGTTTCAATTTGCATGTCTCTGATTCAATTTTTTTAAAGGGTTTGTTTTTTTTTTTTTTCCTTTTTTTTTCAATAATTTTATGATTTTTTGAGGGTTTTCCTTGTTTTGATCGATTTATGTTGTTGCAGTTTAAGGGTTTTTTTTTTTTTGTTTTCCCTAATACCCTGACTTCACATTGGGGTTTATGGTTAATCACAAAGTCCTGTTGCTTTGCTCTTATTTTGATACATTGTAGTCTTTTGATTATTTACATTTTTTTCGGTTTGTTGAAATTTTTATTGGGTTTATTGGAAATTTTTTTGTAAAGTACTTCGAGTGTGTATGTTTAATTGAAACACATTTTTTTGTGGGTTGATTTTAGGTCCTAATATTTGAACCATGTTTTGAGTATACAATTTATCATATGTAATGATAGGATCGAATGTCGTCTACATCATTGTCGTTTGCGACTCTCTTTACATCAAAGAAGAAAAAAAACATATGAGGTTTATGGGTTTAAAAAAAAAAAAAATCTTTATAATGCCCACTTGATTTTGTTATGATGGTTTTTGATCTTTCAGTTTCTTACTATATTGATGAATTTTATATAAAGATTGTTAGTTCAGTAGTAATACTTTGCAGATTTCATGCTATGTATGTGATACAATGCTATCTCTTTTGAGTAATTGTTTGATGTAATTGTATGCATTTCCCTTCTATACAGGAGTCTCCCTTTTCCAACTTCATCAACAGCTTGTCTCCTATCAACCCAACGAAGACGATTCACGTTTCTCAGACGTTTGGCTCGCTTAGTTTTACCTCACCTCCATCAGTATTTACTTCACCCCATGTGAGCTTTCAGAAGGATAATAAGTTCTTAAGAAGGTATGGTTAATGCACATTATAAGGTATTTGTTTCAGTAGCATTATAATGTTTTAAATTTTCATCTGTTTTTGACATGTTATTTTATCTTTGTTTGTTGTCAAAGGCATCTGGTTTCAGATCTCGCGAGACATCAGCTGTCATCAGATGAAGGGAACAAAGACTCTATCACAGAAGAAGACGGCAGCACTGAGCATCACCCTGAAAGTCTGCCAAATGTACAAATTAGAGGTGAAGGTGGTGAAGGTTCCGCCAAGCCACTCGAAGATGCATCAGACTGTGCAACCGAGCTGCCAAGGGAACTTAAGTATGACAGTGGAAGTCCTCGCCACTGTAAGGCAGTGAATTCCTGTGGCAATGAAACAGGATGTGAGCCAAACACATCAGCAGCCCTTATCCAATTTATCCAGGAACCTTCTGTTAGAGGGACCTTTGATACAGAATCAAATGCTAAGGAGACGAACCATGATAACGAAGAGGAAGGATGTGATTGGCAGAGCCTGATATCTGGTAGTAGTGACCTTTTTATATTTGATTCACCTAATGTTACAGAAACTTCAAAAGGGTCATTGCAAAAATCACAAGAAGAAGAAACAAATGTTTTCGCGTCTCTTTTGGCACGCTTTCCATCTGAGCAGGCATATGATCTGCAAACTTCACTTCAAGTTGGTTCTGCTAGTTGTCTTGAAGCGCATGAAACTAGAGAACAATCAACTCAACCCACTGAGGCCACCGAGTTGAATCAAATAGACCAGCCATCAGAGAATTTGGAAAGTGCTTCTGTCAATGAATTCTTTTCTGGTGAAAAACCAGGAAAGCAGGTAATAAAGCCCTCCTTATCCTTATCTGCTTATAAACATTTGCTTTGTGTTTTTCTGGACTTTGTTTGCATGCACCTTATTAATGTTTTACATGCTCTCTATTCTGACATCTGGATCTGTTTACAATGCCTATTTGGATGCAAAACTTTTGTCTTTGATCTTGTATTTGGCTCAGATTTGACGGATTGCAAATAATTTCATAGAATTTTCAAGCCTGGAATTCGTATTTTACTTATAGTGTTGTCCTTGCAACTTTGATTGTAGCTTTGCTCATATAATTATGCTACCTTTTCTGAGTGATTGTCACTCTTTTATTCTTGCATAAAGTTAAAGTGTTGTGTTTTTAGTGCTTTCAAAACCTTTTTCTTGTGAAAGGAGTGTATGGAGAACTCCTATTGAGCATGTTCCTGTTTTGAACTTGCAGCCTTTCAGCAATATCCATAGGGGATTGCGACGGCGTTGCCTTACCTTTGAAATACCTAGAACAAAGAGGAGTATAGATAGTGTTCTTTTCTCCAGCTCTATGTCTTCTTTACCAAATGAAGAAAATCCACCATCCTCCAACAGGCTGCCTATCACGCCCAGGGTTGATCCTGCAAAGCGCATTATGCCAGGTATTGGCCTGCATTTAAATGCACTGGCAGGAGTTCCGAAGGGCAGTGGAATCTCCAACCAAGAGTTGCTTTCTACAAATTCACAGGATCCTCTTATGAACTCCTTAACTTCTTCCTCTTTAAGAGAAGATGTTGGTCCTGCTGAAAATATAGTTGAAATGGCAGAAGATTCTTCTCAAGCTTCAGTGTATGCAGCTAATGAGGACTTGAATTCAAACAGTCCAAAGAAAAAGAGGCAAGTGTAGTAACTTTTGATTTCTAGTGGCATAATTGCTTGACAGGCTTTCCATTCAAAGCATGAGTTTTCTGACTGATGTTGTATGTATTGTTACAGGCGCAAATTTGAAACTATTGGAGAAGGGGAGTCGTCGTGTAAACGTTGCAATTGTAAAAAATCAAAGTGCTTGAAGCTGTAAGTTGTTCATTTCTAGTGTTGGTTAAGAAATTGGAAGAGTATGTGTTGATGGAAGTTTGTCTTATGCATGACACTGCATTTATTATAAGAAATATTTGGCTTCTACAAGGCCTTTTAATGTATAAGAAATCTTAAAAATTTTGTATGGTAATATGCTTTTAGAGGAAGAATTTGAATTGAATTGTTGAAACAACCCAGTAATGCTTGGATCATCTTGCTTTAGCAAGCAACTCACATGATCTTTTGGTTTGACTTTTCTTTATGGGTGCAGCTATTGTGAATGCTTCGCGGCTGGTGTTTATTGTGTCGAGCCATGTTCCTGTCAAGATTGCTTCAACAAGCCCATTCATGAAGAAACAGTTCTTGCAACCCGTAAGCAGATTGAATCTCGTAACCCACTAGCATTTGCTCCCAAAGTGATCAGGACTGCAGATTCAGCTCAAGAGGTCGGGGTAAGGAAATATTTAAAAGGAAGAAAACTAGCTCCACTTTTTTACCTAGCCTCTTTTTTGACTCAATAAAAACTACTTAACAGGAAGATACAACCCGAACTCCAGCATCAGCCCGTCACAAGCGAGGGTGCAACTGCAAGAAGTCAAATTGTCTGAAAAAATATTGTGAATGCTATCAGGTTTGCCCCTTCAGTCTTTCACCTCTTTAGATGTCTGTTCAGTCCTCAAAAGCAATATTGCAAATCAAATTAAACAATTTCTTTTACTATAATAGGGCGGTGTTGGATGCTCCATCAATTGCAGATGTGAGGGGTGTAAAAATGCATTTGGTAGAAAAGATGGTGAGTTGGATCATTCTATGCCCTACAATTTTGCTCACCATATATTAGAGTGTCACCATTTGCTAATGAGACTAATTGATTGAGCATGTCGTGTGATGTTAACTCATTGCAGGGTCCAGTCTGATTGGCACAGAAGCAGAAATGGAAAAGATACAAGCCTCTGAGAAATCCATGCAGGATAAAAGTTCAGATATTCATGCATTCCACAATGATGATGACCAAAATTCTGAATTCGCCATCCCTATGACACCATCAAGGCTTTTCAGGTTGACATTCTAAATCCTAATTCAACCCCTCACTGCAACAATGAAACTGTATAACTTTATCTGAGGGCTTATCTGGTGATTTTGTATGTGATAGGCCATCAGTTCCAGTGGCAACTTCCTCGAAGGGAAAGCCGCCAAGATCTTCCTTAGGAATTATTACTTCATCCTCAGGTCTGCACCAAGTTGATGGACCAGGAAGATCAACATTTCTTCGAACATTATCTAGGCCTGAGAAGCATTTTAAAAGTGTAGCAGATGAAATTCCTACAGTTCTTCAAAATTGTAGTCCTCCCAGCAGTGGTTTAAAGACTTTATCTCCAAATAGTAGGAGGATCTCTCCTCCTCACCATGCCAATGGACAGACCTTCGGACATAAGAGCAGCCGTAAGCTGATCCTGCAGTCGATCCCAGCGTTCCCTTCACTCAGTCCAAGACGCTGAATTTGCAAATTACCATGGAAATTTGTAATAACACACCTATCATCTCTACTTCTCTAGGTGGAGTTACAAGTGTGCTAATTAGTGTTATAGTCCTTATAACACACCTATCAATCCTTTATGCCATAGCTGTATAATATTTCTATAATTTTTTTCCCTTATTTCAATTTTTTTGTTAGGTGAAATTCTTTTCACTATTTCATAATGCTTAAGTTCCAAATTAGGATGTGAATGTATTAGACTATTTTAGGATTTTAGTATATTTGTAAGAACAGTAACGGCCCAATGGTAGTCTAGCGCTATACTAAGGGTGGTTCAGTGAACTATAATACTTTCCATATTGCTCGTATCTTTATATTTCGCGTCTTTAAGATTGTAGAACACCATGAGAGCTTGGGTGTCTAAATCCCAGCCATATATGTTGTAAATAAATTTTGACAGTAGTAGAAAATCATAACTACCATAAAATCTCCACCATTTCCTCTTTTTATTGTTTCCTTTCCCCTTTTGATATATTTCTGCATTATACATCGGCTTAAGGATTGGTTTTTTCATATTTGGTTCATAATAGTCCTCAATGGTAATGGTAACAACTAAAAATAGGTTGGCTATAAAATGCAGCCTAAAATCTCTTTAAGTATTGTATGTCCCAATATAAGTAAATAGGGGGTTTTTCTGGTGGCCTTATCACATGTTATGGAGGATCAATTTTCCAATTTCCACTAAACAAAGTATGAGACTAATGTAAGGATACCAACTACATGGGAAATGATTTTGGCACACCATAAGTTGATTTTGGCACACCCCCTGTGTGAGAGTACAGTTTTTTATGCTCTTTTCACGTGAAGGTGTGCCAATATCAATTAGGGGTATGCTAAAATCAATTCCCCAACTACATTCCTCAAATTTCTATTGTAACAAATTGTGAAATTCTAGAAAATATGTATGGGAGACGTATCTGATGAGTGGCATTTATGCCATGATTTTACCTTTGTTTGATGCAATATCCCTTCATTTGGATCTTATTTTACCTTAATTTTGATGCAAATACTATTGTCCAGTTTGAATCCCAAATGAATTACTTTCATCTAAAACGTTCATTACCATCGATTACCATTTATGCAGTGGGGTGATATATATTACTGTATTGGGAGGTAATGGACATAGTGAAAAATACTAGTTCAGGGACGACAGTGTTTTATTTTAGACAACATTAGGAGTAGATATGTATAACATATCGGCTTTGATACCTTTAAATAAAAATTTGACATGTCAATTTGGATAGAGAGAATAAATATAAGTCTACATATGATAGAAAAAAAAAAGACAAAAATGACCCATATTCGATTATCCAACCAAAATACCTAAACTGAAACCCGAACTCTACTTGAAATTACTTGACTTTATTTCGACTCGATTTGATCCGAACCAAGAACCAATATGTCTAAGCTTAACTAATTAAATTATTAGAAAAAGCATATGGACAATATAAATGAAAACAATCGTTAACACTAGCAATTTTTAGGGGTCTATTCGGTTTCCGGTTTGGATTTTGGCAAATCCAATCCGATCCGAAATAAAATTCGGTTTTTAATTTTCAAATCCAATCCGATCCGAATTTCATATCAATCCAGTCCGATTCAATCCGAATTACAATTCAGTTATTTGCATCCAATCCGAAAATCCTAATTTAAATACATTGTAAAGTGTTAGGGTCTAAAGTGATTATAAAAATAAAAGTTCGAGAATAAAGTTGTACATTGCTAATAAAAGTATTGAAACATACTTTTGCATAATTTATATTAATACAATTATCAACATAATTTTACATGATTAATATAAACAATCATTATTTGTAAAAGTATGGTTTCATATTTTGGTTAATTCGGTTTATAGGATCCAAACAAGGTCAATCCAATCCGATTTGAAAATCCGAATTTTCAAAAAAATTTAATTCGATCCGATCCGAATTAAAATTTAGATCCAATTCAAATTAATAATTTAGTTTGAATTGAATTGAATTTCGGTTTTTATCCTAATAATTGACACCCCTAGCAATTTTGGTTCAAACATGACTCCAATCGAATAGATCATATATGAACTCAATCCGAACGATGTGATTACCGCTTCTGTCTATATATGTGAAGGATTGTAATGATTTTCCTTAAACAGTGTTTCCACATGACTTTACTAGCCCATCAACATTTGCCCATCACTTGGCTATCCTTGGAAGAGGACCTCAAGATCCATATTTCAAATCCTAATTCCAATGACATGGCCTACGACAATGACAGTGGCTGTTTTATTAGGCTAACTAATGGTTCTAGTCTCTTAGCTTTATTGTTTTCACTGTGTTGATTTAATTCTTTGCTACCTGTTGGGCTGATTGGAGGTTTTCTGTTCATTCTTTTATTGTTGTTGTTTGCTTGTTGTACTTTCCATAAATTATAAGTTACCTAATCTAAAGATGAAAGAAAAACCTAAAGAACCTAACTCTAAACTATAGCTGCCACTTCTCCTAAGGCTCCAAGTGATCAAACGGCTCCTAGCTCCTACTCATCAAGTCGATTATCGTATGTTTAGTAGTATGTTTATTTTTAATGTATCATTTTTTTATACTTAACAAGTTTATTTTGAAATGCACTATGCAGCAAGATTGTTTAACACGTTGTATAAAAAAATTTAAGTGATTAAAAAAAAAAAATCATAATTAGACCCATTATGGAAATAAAAAATTAGACGAATCAAATAATGAATACTCTATAAAAAATTAGTGAAATCAAAAGTCGGCAAAATACACAAAATAATACTTGTATACATTTAGTTATATATGATAGTATATACATTAGTTATTAATTTTACTAAGATCACTATTCGGAATCTTTATAATTTATATACAGCTTAAATGCCTTATTTTGTTAACTAAAATCTATTATATCAAATTTATATGATATAAAGTATTTTATTGTTTATACTACCATATTTAGTTATATAAGATAGCCTATATATTAATTACTGTCAATTTAATGAGATCGATTAGTGATTATTAATTAGTAACTAAAAAGATTCCTTTAGATTGCATATTAATATACTGCAACAAACTTTAGAATTGCCATAAGTAGTGGTGTGTAATTAGGCGGGAAAATTTTCATTGTAAGAGCGACATGTGTCAGTTTTAGGTTGAGCGTCCTCTGTTTTAGTATAATTATAGATAGATAGTTAGATATATAGATTTTCCTCTATTTGTTACATTTGCCCATTGTGGGCGTGGACCCTTCATGTTTTTCCTTACTCATGATATTCATCTTGAATGTATAAGTGAAGGGGAGGGACCGAGAGATGAGTAAAATATTGATGTTTAAATTATGGGATGCTCGAAATACTTATCTACTTTATTTATTCACAAATTTTTATGTATGACTAGAGACATGGTGTGACCACCTTACTTCTATATAGGGTATTTGATTAAATAGTAAGGGTTAAAGTGATGAGTAAATGAGGTAACCCTTCATGTAAAATTACAATCGTAGAAAATACACAATATTAGAATGAATTAAAATCAATCAAAAATATATAAGAACAATTTAAATATTAGAAAAAAAAATCAACTTACATAAGTTGACATAAATAAATTCATTTCTAAATGATTTGGAATCAATTAAATCTATTTTAGAATGAATATGATTTATATGATAAAATCTAACTAAAAATATTATGCAAACTAATATGTCAAGTTTTTTTACCTATAAAATATTATAGAGCGACATTTGTCATCCTACATTGTTCCGCTTGTCTTTTAGTATAATATATTTATATATTAGTTTCATCATTAAATTAACTCAAAAATTTTTTAAAAAAAAAAGCCCTTTGTTGCTCTGGTTTTAGGAACCAGAGAAAAAAGTCACTTTTAGCTCCGATTTTGAACCGTAATCTTTTACACTTGTTATTGGCTACCCTCGGTTCAAAGTTGGAACATATACCTCCATCTTAATCGAAACAAAAGAAGTTTTTTCAGCCGGTGAAGTGAGGAAACAAATTACATTTCCTAATTCTCCAAAAAAATTCCTAACATTAGTCAATCAATCTCTAGATTTTGCTCCAATTTGTTCAATTTGTCTACCTCAACTATTACAGGGTTGTTATCTCTCACTTTTTTTGATTTTGAATTTGGGTTGAACTTTTATATTTTTCAATTTGATATATATATATATATATATATATATATATATATATATATATTTTCTCAAAATAGATGAAGGATTGTTATTTTATTCGAGTTTTCAACCTATTTTTAATTTGAGTTTTTAACCTATTTTTTGTTTGAGTTTTTGATCTATTTGTTGCAAGAAGGTTCCCTAATTTATTATTATTTTTTTTCCTGAATAATCTAATCTAGGAATTTTCAGTTTCTTCATGTATGCCCAATTTTGTTTCAAAATTCTACCAAAATGCTTTTGTTTGTGATATTTGGCACAGAAATATGACGGATTTCATATCTTTTTCTACTAAAATGCTTTATTGTAGGGTACTGTTAAATGCAAACTATATGTATGTAGGGACACTCGCTCATAGAGTGTATGTAGGGATCGGAGCATTGGAGGATGATGTAGGTTGATACACGCTAGCAAATAATGCCCAAAACTTATATTTATAGATGAGATATGAAGGTGGAAGAAGTGTGTGGCATATACATTCAAATCTGTAAGCATCTTGAGTATCCTCCAATTCTTCTAGGCCCTTCCACAATTTTCCCATTAATTTCTTAACGTGTTAGAATTCTCTAGAAACCTTTAGAAGCCTTGAACCATAATAAGTTGGGTTATGGAATTTGGGCTACACTAACCCAACAGATAAATTAGGGTCTTTTTGGGCTTTTTTGCAATTAATTGAGACCGAATAAAGTATTGGCTCAAATATGGCGTGAAGAAGCTAAAGTGGTGGAGCAAGGTCTCTTCTTCTTATGGAATAAGCACTAGATTATCCCTGTGCGATGCATGATTAGAATTAATTTTTCTTATAATTTATGTACTGTTGCATTACGTTGTATATAAAGATTAAATTTAAATATTAAAATAATTTAATGTTAAGAATATATATATGAACCATGTTATATATATACAAATTACAATTAATAATTAAAATAGTCAAAACAAATGATTTAAGGAAGTATTTTAATGAAATCTGAAGACTAAGTGGAGTTAAATAATGATTAGTGATAGAGTATAAAACATATTCTTGGGCCTTAACCATCAGCTTAAGCTTTTGGTTGAGTTGGTCCACTAACATGGTATCAGAGCTAACGTGACACAAAGGTCACGAGTTCAATTCTCATCCACCCCCCCACTTTCA